CAAAGGGCAGAGGAGAGAGATTCACTGACAAAAGTGTGTGCTTGCACCACCGAACTGCACTGCTCTTGTCTTTCAAACTGAGATGTATCCTTCGATTTGCCTAATTGATTGACTAATGTTTTGGCTGGGCTAGTGCAATGTTTTGCACATTAACACTTGCTCTGCAATGGGGCTTGTCAGCTTGTGTCTGCCAGCTCGTGATCGACAAACGATCGCCTTGATCGGCTCTGGTGGCCATTGCGTGGTGGCCAGTGGCGAGTGATGACAGCCAGTGCCCAAGTGGCGCCTTTGCTCAGTGCAACCTTTAACCAGATGCTGGCGCAGAAGTGTACTCGAGAAAGCAATGCTTGCCAAGTTTGTTGACTTCACAACAATGAAGTCACCGAAGAGTGTTGAGAACTCTGGCGCTTAGTGTTCTTGTAATTAATTAGGTTGGCATTGCATTAGGCAATGTCACTCTGCTGAAGTGCTGCCAGTTCCAGAAAGTCCAACTGCCGCTGCTCTTATCGGCGCCGTTTATTAGGGCTATTTACAATGCTCACACAGGTTTATCATCTATCTAATGAGTCGAATTGCCGCAGATGAGAATCTTTTTATTTATTGTCCGCAGTTGCTCTGTTTCCTCTACTTCGTGGAGCCTTCCTTTGAGCCGTCTTCAGAGCAGCACTACTGCACTCTCCTATCTGCCGCCACTCAAAGAAGAAGGAAGGTCCTTGCCTCGATAAGGTCAAGAACACAAACAGGCAACTGAAAGTTAAACAGGCGACTTTTGTCGCAGAGTTAATGCAAACAAAACTTGTCATATTCAGCCCAACTGAGTGTGAGAGTATGTTTGCAGTTGCAAATAAAAAACTAACAACCAGCAGCAGCAGAAATAGGATAACATCGCAGTGAAAAGTCTGGCCGACTGATGGCGAGAATGGATGAGAGAGTGTGGATGTCAGCTCAGGTCAGCGTCACACATGGCCATGTGCTTTCAGCCTCTCGTCGGTGCCTAAGGGCTAGTGGTGGCTAGTACGGCAGACTCAATCATCGCTAAGCCGATTAATTAGCGGTCAATTGAGCCACTCTTTGTACAGACAGCGGACAGGCACAGTCTTCACTCTTGATCTTCAAGCTTCTAGCTCGACGCTTCTCTCTCCAGCCTCTCGCTGTCTAGTCCAAGCTCCTTTTTCTAATTGTAATTATTCGCTTTGCCAAATAGCGTGCACCCGACGAGTGACAGAGGCCACAATTTATGATCATTCCTGTTTTGATTATGGCTGCAATGCAGTGCACTGCACCAGGCGGTCAAAGTCACTTCCAGGCTGGCGAAGACACCACTGTGTGATCAGCCAACCAACATCAACTGGTCTGAATGGTGGTGATACCAGTGAGTTATTTTGTGGCCATTCCGTGTCCGTGCCGTTCTCTGGCCAACCAAACACATTCTGAGTGAGCGACATCACGCAAGCGAGTGCATTGCACGTCTCGTTGGCCACTCTTTCTTCCTTTCAGAGCTCTTTCTCTCGCTGCCACCAAATTTTCCTGTCACTCTCTCAAGCGATCACACTCTCTACTCGATATATTCTTTACCATGGCCACACTTTGACTGGCAGTCGATTAAATTCTTTGTCTTATTGCATTTGATTCGATTAAGTCGATGTGAATCGTCTTTAAGGAATTGCTGGTGGAAGCAAACTCGGAAGTTTTTGGTACTCCTAGCTTTGCAGTTTCTCATGTTTCCCAGCAATCTTTGGCAGCAGTCGATTGTGCTATTCATGCTTGAACTCTGTCAGGCGGCGTGAACAAACCAATTCAATCGTCGTTGCAGTTGGCAAACACAGAAGCTGTATCAGGCTCCTCACAGAGAAGTAAGCCACAGGCACTACTTCTATTGCTTCAGTTGTCTTATCTTTTGCCAATTGAATCCAACATTCTTTGCTGCCTACTCTTTGAGCACTGCAATTGAATAGTTAACTTTCAATGATTACGGGGGAACCAAGAAGAAGAGAATGATGAAGATTCGGGCAATGCTGCGTTTGCAAAACAGAAATGTCAATTGGAGGATACGAGTTAAAAGGCAAACATGGCAGGCACTCTTTCCGGACGGCTCAAAACGATTAGCTTTTAACAGTGAGCATCCTCAAATGCAATCTTAGAACAGACAGTTTTTGTCTGTTTGCCTGGTTCTTTCCCTTTAAATGTCGTTGTTGACGTTTAACTTTATTTCTTTTTAGTGGTAATCTTTTGTTTTTTTTCAACCGCGACAATTAGAGACTACAAGACGCTAAGAACAGTGCTGTTGGCCAAGAAATGCAGTTTTCTCTTTTTGTTTATGTGTGTTTGTCTTTTTTATTTTGCTCGTTATTTGGCGGTCATTCATGCAAAGAAATAAATGGAGATATTAGTTCACAGGNAAGACCAGTGCTGTTGGCCAAGAAATGCAGTTTTCTCTTTTTGTTTATGTGTGTTTGTCTTTTTTATTTTGCTCGTCATTTGGCGGTCATTCATGCAAAGAAATAAATGGAGATATTAGTTCACAGGCAATATCATTCAATTTTTTTACTTTTATGCTCCAATTCGGTGGTCAGTGTGTGCACACACTTGCACTTTCTGGCTGCAGCAGTGACCGAGTTAATATTTGAGCAATGACTGACCACATTATTTGAGTTTTGGAAGGATCGAGTGCGCGAGATGTGTCTTGGCAGTGTTTGATGCCAATTGGCCGCTTCCACTCGAGTGCCGTTCCGGTGACAGGCACTGCCCATCGCATTGGGCGCCCACTGCCGCCTGCTTCTGTCACCAGTGCTCTCTTTCTCTCCGGATCAACAACTACTCGGACATGTCCGACTGAGCGCCGTTTGCTTGTTTACTCTTCACTTAGATCCTTCTGAGTCTACAACAATGCTGCAATGCGCAGCAAACATAAATAAAGTCGGCCTTCATGATCAAGATCGATTGCTGTAAATTTCCTGTCTGCCCGCTGCTGCATTGGTCATTTGATGCGTTTTCATCGATTTTGTGGTGCGGCACTTTCATTAGGCCACTTGCTTGNACTGAGCGCTGTTTGCTTGTTTACTCTTCACTTAGGTCCTTCTGAGACTACAACAATGCTGCAATGCGCTGCAAACATAAATAAAATCGGCCTTCATGATCAAGATCGATTGCTGTAAATTTCCTGTCTGCCCGCTGCTGCATTGGTCATTTGATGCGTTTTCATCGATTTTGTGGTGCGGCACTTTCATTAGGCCACTTGCTTGCAATCGAATATCTGCAGCACTGGTCATTTCATTTTTGTACTTGTGTAGTGTAGTGTTTTTACTTTTCCTCTGGTCAAATTGAAGACACAACTTTCCTGAAAAGCCCGGCACTGTGACTTTGTCAAACTTCTTTGACAGTGAACAGTGTCGTGTTGACACAATTGCTCAGAATTGACTGCTCCATTCAGTGTCCACTCTGTGTCATCATCACGATCTCGCCCTCTTAATTGAGCACTTCTTTGATTTGCCCTTGTTATCACGTGTGCCCGGCTTGGTGCACTGCCAAAGGTGTCCTTTTGTTAGGGCAGCGTTGTAATTTGGCCGAGTCACTCACGTTCGTGGACTACAGTGCCAGTTCCAGCGAGGCAATCAGAGAAATTGACGTTGCACTACTTTGACTATTGTCGATGCAAATGCAATTGGAAATTGAAACGAAACCGCTAGATGTAATTTGAGACTGCAGATATTCGCGCTCATTGTAGCTGGTGGATCGAAGTGCTCGCCATACACACATACAAGCACACATTCTCTATTGGCGTCTAGCAACAACACCAAGTGCTCTATTTGACTCGCCCGCCATAGTTATTCAATTACACTGGGCGCACTGTCTTGCCCTCTTCGGATAGATCTGCAGACACAGTGGCGCTGGCTCTTGATGATTAAGTGCCTTAAACCTATGCTTGAACTAAGCAAGTGCTGCAGTGTGTTGGACGAATCGCCCAACAGTCTGTGTGCTCTGGACTGCTGTAGAGTGCACCCAAGAGAGCTATCGCCACGGGTCGAGTTGAACATTCCTCTGCACTGAAGTGAAGTCCTCTGCTGCCTCTGGTGGTCGACCAGCTGAATGCAGCAGCCAGTGACTGAAGCCAGCAACTCTCTAATGTCAACACTAATGACTCGAGCGCAAGTGGCAAGTAATCAAAACAAAGGCAAGCAGTCAGAGGATGGAGGATGAGGATGGCACTCTCACAATGGATGGCATTGCTTTCGGGTCGTCCTCAGTGCACCAGGGCCTCTGCGGCTTGCAGCGGAATTAGCTGACAATTCCGGACTTGTTCTCTGCATATCACAACAATTAAATGGCTAATTAGTGGCGCAGTTCCATTTGTAATGATTTTGTAATTAGATTTACGCTTTCACTCACTGAATGGCTAGTGGAGAAATTCACTCTTTGTCATTCACCACCAGAACCAGCACTGACACCAAATCTGCTGAACTCAAACTTTATTTTATTTTAAATTCACATTAGTTTACTGNCGTAATTAGATTTACGCTTTCACTCACTGAATGGCTAGTGGAGAAATTCACTCTTTGTCATTCACCACCAGAACCAGCACTGACACCAGATCTGCTGAACTCAAACTTTATTTTATTTTAAATTCACATTAGTTTACTGCATTTTGATAATGTTTTAAACAAGCTTTTCTTGTTTAATTAAGCCATCGAAAAACGACATTAATTTACCGTGGATGTACCACTACACTTCATAGCATTTTGTGGAAATAATTTTTCAAATTCACGATTAGTTTACAGCAAAAATGATTGTTTTTCTCTTTAGTGAAAACAATAACAACATTGCCTTTTTGATTGTGATCTTTTATTAAAAAACTATTTGAAAAAGGTACAACTGAGGTCTGATTAGGAATGTTTTCGAGAGCCTTTGGTTCCAACATTTTTTGAGCGGCTTTTGGACGACCGTCGGGTTGGTCTGCAGCAATATAGTAAAATTAGTTTTGGTTAGTTTTCTTTTTCACTTACCTTGATCGTCTAGTGTGAGAACGATTCCAGTCAAAAGCCTTTTCGAGGCGATTGAGGTTGATACTACTTTCCGCTAGCACCGAGCCCAGTTTACGAATGTAGTCTTTGTAGTCGGGTGCTTCAACAAACTTTAGCTTACGAATCTTCTTTAAAATTTTTCCATAAGCAGGCGGCATATTGACGCAGATTTCTTCGGCACTCAGATTACCCTTCAGTTCACCATACTTTTCCACTCGTTTTCTCATGTTTTTGCCTACCTCTTCGTCTACCACAAACCATGGCAGTGTGCCCGTTTGAAGGTAGATAAGCACGTAGATGAGCGACTCAATGTCATCACGTCTTGAGAGCTCCTGATTTTGATGCATGTTAGTTGACATGAACTGAGGAGTTCCGGTTATTGGCTTGTCAATAGCGAAAGAAATGTGTCGACCATTCTCGTCACGCCATTCCTTGGCTAGACCCATGTCTGCAATGGAAGAGGAAAAAGTTGAAAATCAATGCAAGTAAAACAGTACTCACCGATAAGGTAAATGGAGTGTGCGTTTTTGCTGTTGGGTCTTCCCACCAGAAAGTTGTCCGGTTTGACATCTCGAAAAAGTAGGCCTTTTTTGTGAAAGTCACTAAAAATGCGCATCAAACTGACGCCTACTGCAGCTGTGCACTGTTCGCTAAACTGGCCCAGTGTCTCATAGAGCTTTTTTAGCGAGGGTCCCAAGAGATCCATGACAAGGGCGTTCCACACCTCGCCGACTATGCCAAAGAAATAAATTGCTGGAATGTAGGGACAGTTTTTGCCCAGTTTCAAGTAAAAACCAAACTCAAGGTACAGTTGTCGGTGCGGCGCATCGTTGTGCTCCAGTTTGATGGCCACTAGCTGTCCTGTTCGTTCATTTAGACCTCGGTACACCTGACCAAAGGCACCGCCTGCTATAAAGGATTTGAGAATGAAAGGCGACTGAACACCTTCTTTTGTCATCAAACGCTCCCCGATTAGTTCGTTCGAGTTTGCAGCCTTGAAAACAAATTGATAGTTAGTAGGTGAGGGATTCACTGAAAAGCACGTACCATTGAAAGGCTAGAAGGAAATGTTTGTAAAATCACAAAAGTGCAGGTTGTAAAATAGGTTTATAGCTGTGTTTAGTAAAAATATAAATTAGAATAGTTTTCACTAGACATTGTTGGGCCAATAGTAGAACTTGAAGCATTATATTTTATAAATGCACTTGTGAGTCATCAAATGTTTTGTTTCTTGAGCCTTCTGATTAAGGCGTCTTCTAGTCAAATTGAATGCTCCAATTGCAGACATAGTTCTTGACCTGATACTGAAACTGGCTGATTGTTTGGAGCGCCTGTCTGTGTCACTTGTGAGTGCTTTGTAGCTCCAAGTGCTCTGTACCACATTGGCGATCGACTACTGGTCAAGAGTGCCTGGCGAATGTCGAGTGTTTTCTCTTTATTTTCTCCCCACCGTCACACGTACTTTCCATTCGAAGCACTACAACTGCAGCAATCTTCAGTACTTTACTCCACTTTCGATCGCTCTCTCGTGCACGGGCCAACTCGAGCACGAATGGCCTCTCTTTCTCTTTTCCTTTTGATTGTTATGTGCTCTGCCGTTGCACAAAAGGGCACTTCACTCGAATTGCTCAATTAAAAGTTTAATAACCAAGCGACAACTCTGTACCTTTCTCTCGTGTCGAGCACCATTATTTGTCTGGATCTCGATTCCGCCAGGAGCTGTCATCACTACTGTCTGCCCCTTCTTTTCCTCTTTATCTCCCACTTGTACTTGAGTTTGGCTAGTGACTGAGCTAGTAAACAGAGTACTGTCATGGTGATGCTGCTGTTTGTTGCTGAGCCGTGAAATGACCAGTGCTGCTCGAGCCACATTTGGATGATTTATACCTGGCAGGCAAATTAACTCTACTCTACTATGAGAAAGTGAAGGTCGAATCGATAGGTTAGCGCGATAAGTAGTCGAGGAACATGAAGAAGAAGAAAAAGAAAGGAAGACAAGAGTTGGTGATGAGTTGAGAATGAGCAGAGTGTGCCTAGACTTTGAGTGAGTGCACTTGGTTGGCAATTTAATTATATTCGTAATTAAACAGCATTGGACAACAATTACAGCGCGTCTGCGCTGCGGACTAAGCTCACTCCAGCAGACTGCTGAATCCGGATTGAGATGCGGCTGTCGATAAGAGCGAGCAGTGTTGACTGTCATCACAGGCGCAGGCAGAATCTTGATGATCGACACTAACTAGAAGAGGCTGCTGCCGCTGCTTCTCTGCTACCTCCGAGTTTCATCGCTACTCTGTGCTTGCTTCCTTCAATGCAACATTGCCAGTGACGATACTACCTTTGCCATTGCTGACACTACTCCCGCTCTCTCTCTATTTCTGCATAACCGACAAAACAAACACTGAATACCGCAGTGGAAAAGCTGTGCAAAAATGCACACAAACACACAACTGTGCAAACAAACCGGCCAGCCGTTTGTGCTTTAATTATTTTCGATTAATGCCAAGTTGCCAAGAAGGCAGTGTGTTGTACGATCAAATTAAGCAGATTTCAGTGTGGTGATAAGGAGAGTAACAAGTCCTCGGCAGATCAACCGGAGGAGATCGTCCGACCAGAGTCCAGCCGCACAGTTTGACCAATGGCGCCTCTTTCCTTGTGCATGATTTATGGTGCACCCCACATAGCACGAAACTTTTGCACCAGTTTTGTCAAGTTGATTCGCTCGGATTCTCGCCGCATTACCTTGAAGGCGACTGTGACAGGTCAAAATGGTGAAGTTCACGTGCGGTGGCAGTACTGGTGACACTAGTGCCCTCTCATCACTTGTCGTTAGCATCAAAAGCGTCGACCAGGCCTGGGGTTGTTTTGTTGTGTTCCTTCACCGCGCGGCATCCACCGTTTGGCCTGGTCCGCGTGCAATGTGCTCGGCAGATAAGTTAAGATTGCCCAAGCGAGATGAAACAAACGAGCGAATTGGCAATCTCAGGGGAGATGGTCGTCGAGAGGGAGCAGATAGATAGAGGTAGTACCTTCTTCGTGAATTGTTCTTCTCCACTCTCTCGTTATCGGTTTACAAAGTTTAAGTGTGCGATGCACTTGCCGGGTTGCTGTCGCTCTCGCTTGCTCTCATCTATCATCTATCATCTGCAACTGGCACAAGGTGGTAGTGCTGGTGGTGGTGGTGGTGGAGCAGAGGTACTGAACAGATAGGGGGTCAGACTTGGCTGGTGTGCTGCTGCTTGCCCCTGCTGTTGTCGTTCACTACTTCAGCCGAGTACTGCATCACTTCCAAGTTGCCTTTGTAGCACCTTTTCTGCTCTGTCTGCTGCAAATCACCTCGTGGAGCATCGTCTACTGCTGCTGCTGCTGGCAATGCCTCTGCTAACGATGCCCAGCCAGTGGAGAGTACTCCAGTGAGAAGACGGCTGAAAGGGAAACAGTGGCAAGCATCAGCTTGTCAGACTGTGTACTGCACCGTCAGATTGACAGTAAATCGAGCAGCATTGGTGCACTTGCCATTTCTCATGTTCCCAATAATGATGCCTCCAATGGCTTTCTTGCCAGTCCTCCTTCTTTTCTGCTGTTGTTGCTGCTGCTTTCATATGCAGATGGCCATCACAAAACAAACAGATCGAAAGACCACAGCCTCTGCGTAGTCTTCCCGTCCTGACCGCCCTGGTCTTGGTCACAACAGGAGGCACACGAAGCACACTCGGCGCCAGCAGTAGCAGGCTTTTCAGGCTGGCCAGCTTGCCAGCCCGCGAGGCACACTGTCAGTCTTGGCAATTTGCTTTCTGCTGCTTTACTTGTGGCGACTTATTGATGTCATCGAGAAGGAGAGAGAGAGAATTGTCTTGACGTTGATTCCGTGCTGCGAATCCATTACATCGATTCTCCCTCCTGTCAGTGACTGTCTTTGTGGAGGCTGCCAGGTTGAGCAGTAGGACTTTTGTCAGTCCTGTAGAGACAATTTGCATTACAATGCCAGCTGACAGTGGGCTCTGGTGACGGTGGGCATGATCAGGCGATTAGGTTTGACTGCTCATGCAAATTAATCATCGCTCATTGCTACAGATTCGAGCGACAGCACTCCACTGCTCATCTGCTCATCAGAAGTTGCTGTAGATACTTTGTGGTTGCATCTTCTGTGAGATGTCGTGAAGACGGCATTTGAAGCGGTGAAGACAGCACCACGCATCTGAGTAATCTACGCTCCACCTCATTTTGACTAATAATGCCATTATTACCACTGCTTCTCTTTGTAACTCTCTCAAATAGGCAATTTAATTGTTTGCTGTTGTAGCCTAAATTGGGCTATAAATAGATGCTTCTTCCAAATCGGGTGTTTAATGCCTTTTTTAATGAGCGATGATTGATACGGTCAATTGATGTCGCCGACAATGGCACCACATCAGCACTAATAACATCAGCAGCATTCTCTGTTTTACCTGGCAAATTGTCCTTGCACATTAATCGCAATTATCTAAATGACTGCATTACCGTTGGCTGCTGACCACTAAGCAAAGCTATTTTGTGTTTCCTAATTTATTAGTACCGGTAAAACAGGCACATTCAAGAGTACTGTCACTTGAAATTGCCATTTACGGTTTGTCATTTGTCGTCTTCTTATTATTAATAACAATAAAAAATAAAAAGCAATTGACGACAAGTGAATGGTTTAATAATTAAAATATATTTGCATCACTTAGTTTTTATGTTCATGTCAGTAGCGCATTTCGCTCGGTGCTTAGCGCTCGATAAGATACACTGGCTAGCAATTTAATTGACCCATTCCTCCAATGGCCAGTCTAGCTCTCTGCCTGCCTCCAAACCTGAACCATATCGGCCGTGTGCAGTGAATGTGAGCACTAATCGAATAGCAGGTAAACAGCCTGCTGTGTGAAGCTCACCTGCTCTGGTTGCCTGCAACACTTACCTGTGCGCGATAAGCGAAAGGAAGTCATTGCCAAACAGTACCACTGATAGCTTTTTCTTTCTCGATCTACAATGTTCAGTGGCGCTCCAGGTTCAGCACTGTCGCACTACTGTGGTGATGTCACTGTGAGGCCTCGTCTTCAGTTGCAGTTGCATGACCAAATGGTCATTGAAGTTAAGTTTACCTGAGTTTAGATAACCCGAGGACAAATTGCGCTGCTTTTTAAAGGCAGGCAAACAGTGTCCACTATCGACCGGCGACATCTGCCTCTCAACTGCAAGAATCAATGCTAATTGTTTAATTGCATCGTCTGATTTTGGATGATACCATCTGCTTGAATTACCAAGTTTACTGGTGTTTGAGATGGTTGTTTCAGTTGTTCAAAGCTTGCCGGACAGTGAAGAGTCTTCTAGAGAGCAGCACCACTGCAGCAGTGGCCTAATTTATGGTCCAGTGTGATCATGTGCGCAGTGTGTGTCTGTGTTTCCATTACCTAATCGGCTTGTTCGCTTGTCATTTGCTCGACTGGTTGCTTTATTAGCAGCTGTAGTGCACAGCGGAACTACTTGGTGACTCACCGACTCATGTCGTCCCAGTTCTGTGCTTCATCCCACATGCTCAATAGTACTGTCCACTTTCACCAATTGATATAATCTGTCCAGTGCTGGTCAATTGTTACTACTACTTTGTTGCAGTTGTTGCGGTCTGCCTGATGATTTACAGGCAGGCAGATCAGTTGTGTGTGTGTCTTACTGAGCAAGATTGACTGTGCTCGGCTCGATTTGATTACACTGCTGGTGGACTGGTGGAAATGAAGGCTCACTTCAATCAAGCCAAAGCTGCTTTATCTCTGTTCGCTCGATACTGCTGACGTGCCGCCTTTGCTGGTGCATCTTCTGCTCACTCTTCACTGCACATTTCAACTTGGCAGTAGTAGTGGTACACGTAATTTACGACCGATAACTACTACTACTCTTACTACTGGAAGCTACTCTTGGGCCTGCTGGCGCGAATTTCGATGTCCATTGAAGCATTTACGTTGACGCCAGAAGCTGTCGGTAGGCGCTCACAGTTCCTCGCTCACTCGGTGCCAAGTTTGCCCTTCTTTCGCTGATCAGCAA